ATTTTCTTCTTTATATTCCAAGCTTAAGAAAGGAAAAAAACCCTTAAATGGAGATCAAAAACAATCCAATCAATCAAATCAAGCATTATTTTAAAAAAGGACAATTCATAGGTATAAGCAAAAGTGAAAAAAGAAGAAGAAAGAATTAATCCATTCAGTTTAAAAAATAGGGAGCCCCTGCAAAAATTCCATCCGTGAAAAAAAGAAAAAATTAGAAGCTGGATAACACACTAAGTTCAATGCAGATCAATATCGCCGCCTACAGTCTTTTGTCTTCAATGTTAACTTAATTTTTTTTCTTGGGTAGTCTCTTCCTCTAATAATAAAATTTCCTCATCAATTTGATACACTTTCTCTTTCCGCTTTCTTCCCGTTGTGGAGCTGTCCCAACTTCAGCAGCTTCATTAGCTGTGTTTCGGTCGCCGGGAAAAAAAAGGCTATTTCCTGGATCTTTCAGGGACTTTGTGGTGTCCCTGAGATCAGCAGGAGGTGCCCTTCTCAATCACCATCTCTGAGGGATGGTTTAGGTCCAAACGGACTGTCCAGCGGCAGAAATTCGACTGCAATCTCGGAACACCAAGATTGCACGTTGTGCTGTCGCGACGTCAGCTCTCTTCTCCCATCCACAACTTCTTGAGGCAAACCATTTCACTGGTTAATCATTCTCACTGTCAGGACATTTCTCCTTAATTCTAGCTTGGATCTCTTTTTGTTAAGCTTCACCAGCTGTTTTGAAAGAACTAGACACATAGTTTTAGTACAAATATTTCAGGATAGCAGATATATCCTCCTAAAATACCCCCAAAGCATGTTTTTTTCTGATGGACTCCAACATACATCAAAATGACATACAAAGAAGTTGACACATTAAAATTAAATAGTTCATAAACAAAGCTGTACATTTTCAAGTGTGCTGGGATAAGAGTCATTGCAAATGGACAAAGGACACCATTCATTTATAAATTTCATAATTTCAGTAAACGCAGGTGTGATGTGTGGTCAGTGCGTGATGCATCTGGCCCATGGACCAGGAGTTTGACAGCCCTGCTCTACAGGGAGGTTAAGTTTTTATTTGCATATTTTGTATAGTATCAAGACTTGGTCAGACAATAGATATGTAGTCAGATAGTTCAAGATCTGATAAAGCGATTGTTTGATTTTCAGTAGATTTTTTAATCTTGGTTGTCATTATATGTATTTAAATGATATATAGGTAAGCTACCTAGATTTACATTGGATACTGAATTGTACCAAGTGCCACACAGAATTTCACTTTCCATCTTTGGAAATGTCATATTTTTGGGCAATGACATTCAAAATTTACAAGTAATTCTATTTAATTGCAACATAATGTAGCTGGCTCAATCACTCCAGAAAAGTCAGAAGCATATAACAGTTACTAGGATTATTTATCACAAAAAAACACAATGCAACTGCTTTTATTTTCTTTGTGATTTTCTTTTTTGTTGTTTTGTTTCTTTGGATAGATGAAATAAAAGAAAAGTGGGTTACTAATGAGAATTTGTGAAATATCTGGATTTGCCACTCTAGAATTCTGTAAAAAGACAGATTAATACAGCTTCATCAGAAATTACCCAAATTTTACAAACTATTTGCACTGATGTTTCCTTGTAATGAAGTAGAATAGCAACATACAGACAATGTCATGAAAAAGCAACAGTCTTATTATTTCAAGTTATTAGAAAATGCATCCCAGAAGCAAAGGAATATCCTTTCATTTTATATTATTTTAAATGTAATGAGTGCCATTGAGGATAAACTTCCAAAAGAAAAAAACACAAGGAAAATACTATATTTCTTCCTTTCTATTGTATGAATAACTGCCTCTCCATCTCTCTATTTCAGTCTTCCTGACTTGTACATGGTCCATTTTATCAAATTAATCAAGTGCTGATCCAGTGATTGCGACTGGAATTGACCAATTGGCTTGTCACTGAAGCCTGATATTATGAGCTAAAAGACAGTGACTGATTCAAGGTCACCCAGTCAGCTAAGGTAGGACTTGAACGCAGTCTCCTGGTTTCTGGCCTGGTGCCTTAATTACTAGACCAAATGGGCTCTCTAACAGCTCACCCACATACAGTACCTATTTTGTTCACCCTGATGAAAGTGATAAGATGGGAAGGGAGGACAAACCCAGGAGAAATGTCTAGAAAACATGACTTGCTACTGGGCATTATTATTATTAAAATTTTGCACAGGTTCTGATTGCTATCAGGTTTTTATTTTGTTTGTTTGTTTTGAACCTAGAACATTATTTAATACAAAAGTGGGTAAAACACACCCTGGAAAATACCTTGCGGCCATCAGCAGGGTTGTCAGACAGAGGTTCAAAGATATTATCTGGTAATAAAAGATATAGGGTGTAGTTTTATTTAATTATTTTAATGCAAAAGAATAAATGTTAATTTATGTGAGTGATTAAAGAAAAATAGCTCTGCGCACCTGTATCGCCTCAGGGAAGAACGA